CGTGCTCTCCACCTAGGACAACTTGGCAGGGCATCTATAGATGCCAGTTCCACGTAGGTGAGAAGTAGCATCTGCAAGTAGAATAATTCACAAACGTTAACGGGCTGTCAGTTTTCTTGATGATCTCTCTAAGTACGGATTTATCATGAATTTACCAGGCCTTACTTCGCTTAGCTTCTGAAATCTGATCCGATCGCATCACACGATGATATGGCTGCAAGTTCAGCAGTCTGCTCCCTGCCAGCTGTGCTGGAGAACAAGCAGCTGGTTGTGCCAAGCGGAGCAGACTCGACCACAGGCTGCGATCGGAGGAGAATATTCCATTGTAACGCTGTATTGTGTCCTGTGTGTCTCGCTGCAGAGGTAAAATTACATAATAGTAGCAAGCTGCAGTGACTCACCACGCTCCTCGTGTGATTTACAGCAGCTCCCTAAACGACGTTTTCGCTCAGCATGCCACATAAGCCATAATTGCAAACATGTGAGTAGACAAAAAGTACATTTTTCCAATTCACTGTTATTTAGCATCAAGCAATCTCTGATGACTAAAACAGATTAAAATCTCTTTGTATGGATATATTGTCACCTTTGATCTAATTCTTCTTATCTTGCTGTCTCCCTCTCGATGAAGTATTTTCTACAAATTCTTTGTCTTACTGTCGTCTTTTTTTTTTTTTTCCATGCTATCCAAGGATATTTAATTTTTGCCCTATTCCAGTGTCTCTTGCCAAGATTAATACTCCAGCTGCCTGGAAATTCTGAATTCCTTTGTTTTGAATTCATTCTTGTCGTCTTTGAACGACTATACATCTCCTCTCCTATCTCTGTGTCTGATCTTTCAGAATGATTTTCTACCTATTTTAGCCAAACTTTTCTCATGGATACTTCTCTTCTTTCCATCTGTTTGCTACTTTTCTATCAGCTCCCTGTCTGTATTCAGCCTGCACCCCCCTTTCCTCTTCCAAATCCCTTTTTTTTTCCTTTTTCTGTAGGTAACCCCATTCTTGCATAGATTCTTCATTTATTAATTGCAGATCAAGAGGTCATCTTTTCTGTCTCCCTCTACTACAGGCAGGATCAGCCTGGGTCACTCCTGATGGGTACTTGTTCAGTGTTTTCTTCCTTTTTTTTTTTTTTTTTTTTTTTTTTTTTTTCTGTTTTTTTTTCCTTTTTTTTTTTTCTTTTTTTTTTTTTTTTTTTCACTGGTGGGAAATTTGACAGCTTCCCATCCCTTCAAGTCCAGTGCTGCGATGTTACTCCGGTAGGAGAAGCTTTTCATCTGTACAAGGAATGTAGGTTAAGGCAATTTAAGCCCGTTGCTAATTGTCCTGTCATAAAACTGGAGAATGGATTATCCCTCCTCCCCCATTCCCTGATATCTTTTAGCGCATGAAGGTTGTTATCTTTTCTACCATCAGTCTTTTTCTAGCCCAAATCGCCGTATTTCCTTCAATTTTTGCCCATTAGTCACGGTTCCTAGAACTGACGTTCCTGTTGCTCCACACTAGGCAGCCCAATCGATGAGCTATCGACGGGCAATTCCGGCTGCTGCCTCCAAGTTTTTGCTGTTACGGGAAAGCTTCTTGATCATGATTTTCACATGTGACGGTATCTAGCTGTTCTGAAATGCCGCTTCTGACATAGCAAAGATTGCTTGGTTTGAAGATGGCAGTTGAAGGAGAGAGCATGGCTATTTGGCATTTGATATTCCGAACTCGTGGACAGCTAGTAGCGTTAGGAAAAGATAGTACCTTCTTTCGTGGGGGTGGGAGGCTTTTGCCTTCAAACTTGCTTAGATTTGACTTTCTTGAAAAACTTCTGTAGCTTTAAAATGCTCCAGTTAGTTATCTGTGAGCAGTCAACAATTCCCCTTAGGAAGTTTGTCAGAGAAATGGGAGGAATGAATCCATCTGATTCAAACTCAAAAAGCCTTTGTTCATAGTAGTCGTTTATAGGCAGGATGCATGAATTCAAGCAAAGTTGTAGCTGAAAGGTAACCCATAAAGCAAGCGAAGTGTGAAATCTGTGCTGAATTTATAGAAATCGTGTTGCCTTTTCTTCTTTTTCATTATTAAAAAAATACTACTTATGTTTAAAAAAAGGCTCTGGAGATTCAAAACTCTTCTACTAATGTTTTCTGGCCCTGGTGAAGTGTTTCTCTGTACAATTCAACTCCAAGAAGCCCTTGAGGATTTACTGAAATCAGTCAGGGATGTATCCATAGAAGTGTGTTCCCTTCTACCTTTGTACTTCGTAGTTATCTTCTTAAGTAGAAGTCCGGTAGTCATTGAGACGTGAAGGTTGTGATCATTTGGAAATCATTATATCGAACTGGCACTTCTTTTGCTCCATCTATGAATCATTTCTATGATTCTATAGGAGGTAGTAGTGAGGTGGGTGTTGGTCTCTTCTCCCAAGTAGCTAGCGATAGGATGAGAGGAAATGGGCTCAAGCTGCGCCAGGGGAGGTTTAGGCTGGAAATTAGGAAAAATTTCTTTATGGAAAGGGTGCTCAAGCATTGGAACAGGCTGCCCAGAGAGGTGGTGGAGTCCCCATCCCTGGAAGTGTTCAAAAAACAGGTAGATGTGGCACTTCGGGATATGGTTTAGTCTAGTCTACCCTTAATTGGTTTAGGTGGGCTTGGTAGTGTAGGTTAATGGTTGGACTGGATGATCTTAAAGGTCTTTTCCAACCTAGACGATTCTGTGATTCTATGATTCTATGATCTGTAAACATCTACTACGTACTGGTGTACGGAGAGCCGGGGTTTCCAAAGGGGTGGTAAATGCCGTGGGGCCGTACACCAGCACAGGCTACTGTGAGTCCTACGGGTGCTGGTGACGCCGTTGCTCAGGGAAGTTCCTTCAAAGCACAGCATATAAAAACATCTGTTTTTAAAGAGGTTATTAAAAACATTAGCTATGCTGTTACTTGTTAAACAAACACGTGAAGAATCCAAAGAGAATTTACAGCAGTGCTTGAGACCTCTTGGACTTGGCAAATTCACATAAATTAAGGGGAGCAGTGCAAAGCAGTACGTGTTTTCTGGGTTGCACATCCCTGACTTTGACAGGAGGAGATAACTTTTACTAGTGAAACTCTAAACAAAAATAAACGTACGAAGCAGTTTTTTCCTTGAGAGAGCATGGAAGCTACCATACTGTCTGGAGCAGCATTTTATCTAAAAGCGAAAACCTTTATCTAAACTCTAGTCTTTCATGTCTTGCGAGCTGTTAGGGAAGTTTTGTTCATGCCAAAGGAAGAATAAAGTAAGTAATGTGTATATATGTGCATATGCATGATCGCAAAGCTGGCACACGTCTAGGATGGCCTAGAAGGCTGATTTTTGCGATGTTGCTCTTCAGAGGGAGGCTGTCGGGCTGTGCTGACGTTAGCTGATACGTCGCTGCTGTTCAGGCTGATCCACCGAAGCCTGTGGTACGTGCCTCCGGAGGAGCCCCAGCCTCGCGGAGCCAGAGCTGCTGTGTTCGAGCTCTGGGTTCTGGGGGGAACGTCCTCTGTTTGGAAATTCTCTCAATGGGATTTAATAAAAATATGCCAGTGTTTTTCCTAGCTCTCAGATATTTTACTTTGCCTCATTGCATCTATAAAATTATTATTTTTTAAAAAATTTTTTAGCTTTTATCCTTTTAAATTAAAGAGGCAGAAACATGCTAGGCTATTGCTCTGGCCATAATGTTTTTCAGTGGATTTTTTTTTTTTTTTTTTGCAAAGGGTATTTAGGATGTGCAAATGTGCTTCTGTAGCTGTCCTTACCCAAAAATGCACTCATAACAAGGCAGTCCGTGTTGAAGACTCTATGCTTCTCTTCTGAGTCAGCAGTGGCTGAGTGGGCGTGCAGGCCATATGCTCTGTCAGAGTCATTTCGAAATGAAATACTTTTAATAAAGAGCCTATGGTATGTGATCTCTCTGGTTTCGGGCAGGGGACTCTGGGGTTAGTTTGCGGCGATCTTTTCCTTCTGTCGCTGGGACCCTTGTGCCGTGAGCACCGTGTTCCCGTGACGCCGAACCAGCTCCAGCTGGGGCTGTGTGGTGGCTGTGGAAGGGCTGCTCTGGAGTTTTCTCGTGCTCCCATCCTACCGTGGGATTCCTTTGCTTCCTTCTCAAAGCGCTCTCGGGGCACGCTGAGCTCTCTTAACTGAGGGCTCATGCTCAGGCCACCAGGCCAGCCCTTCTCTGTTGGTCTTCAAGAAATACTGGTGTCCCGCGCAAAGCGTGTAATAAAGAACTGTCGTGATTCAGCCCCAGCCAGCGACGGAGCACCAGGCAGCCGCTCGCTGTCCCTGCCCCGCTGGGATGGGGCAGAGAATCAGAGGAGTAAGAGTGAGAAACACTCCTGGGCTGAGATCAGAACAGGTTAATAATTGAAATAAAGTAAAATAGTAATGCTAATAGTAACAGTATAATAATGATAATAATAATAATAATGATATCCAAAGCAAGTGATGCCCAATGCAATTGCTCACCACCCGCCGACCGATCCCGAGCCAGTGCCCATCAGCGATCGCTGCTCCCCGGCCAACCCCCCCAGTTTCCATACTGCCCATGACGCCGTATGGTATGGAATGGCCCTTGGGGCAGTTGGGATCAACTGTTCTGGCTGTGCCCCCTCCCAGCTTCTTGTGCCCCTGGCAGAGCAGGGGAAGCTGAAAAGCCCTTGCCTGGTGTCAGCACTGCTCAGCACCAACTAAACCATCAGCGTGTGATCAGCATTGTTCCCATCCTAAATCCAAACCACAGCACTGTGCCTGCTACTGGGAAGAAAATTAACTCTATTCCAGCCAAAACCAGGACAAGAACAGAGCCTGAAAGGATGGTGTATGTAGGTAACTCTTGCTGAACGGGCTGGTGTGCTGGAAAGCCCTCGTGAAGGGCTTAGCAATCATCCAGGTCCGTGGCTTGTTTTTATGAGTTACATCCATCAGATCTCTTCGCATTTTCAGTTGTGTGTAACTGTGGCTGCTTCCTGTTTTTCAGGAGACGACTTCTCATTGATACAGCAAGAAATATATATGGTTAAAGAATGCAAACATTGCAACATAGTTGCCTATTTTGGGAGCTATCTCAGGTAAACCCCACTTTTTATACCTGTATTTCTGCTGGTTCTTTCCTAAGACAATGCTCAGTCTGGTTTAGTACTTAGAACGTCTCTCAGCGTTCTTCTCTAGGTTCAATTCTGTTTGGTTCCCAGTTGGCTTTAAAAAAAAAAAAGGGAAAAAAAAAAAAGGAAAGTGACTAATACTTTGTTTTCTCTGCTGGCCAAAAGGCTGGAATATTTTTATCACTAGAAACAGAAAGAAACTTCTCCCCTAGAGACTCTTGCAACATATTCAATCCTACTCACTTGCGGGGCAGATTTTAAACGTTTATCACTTCTGTTATAAAACTAGCTCATTATTTATCTAGAGCAGAATTGCTTTTAGATATTTTATTTAATGGTAGTCTTGTGGGCTGTGGAAGTATAGCCAGTGAGTTGTAAGAGCAAAACACTAAATCTGATCTGCTGGTAATAACAATTTTTTTATAACTCTGGTAGAACAGATGCGACATACTAAGAGGCAGAAACAAGGTGATGCCAGCTGGCTGCATCTTCAAGTGCACACGTTAAATGTTATACAGAAAGCTGGGGAATATTTTCCGTTTCTGTGGAACTCTGCCATTTATCGGTTGGCTCTTTGGGAATATATATCACCACTTTGCCTGTTTGGTCTTTTTCTATGAGGCTTCATCTTTAGATTTCTTGGAGGGCTGCATGTTTTAAGTAATCTGTACAGCCCAAATGGACTTCAGCTGGGACAAAATGGCTAAATTTCTAAATCCCCAGTACCCTTTCTGGAGGGCACAAAGAGTTATTTAGACATAAATTAGGTAGTTTCAATTTAACACACTAAACTCACAGTTTCAATCTTATCTAATGTATTCTTGCTGATAGCAGATAAACCTGAGGTGTTTCTTCTGCGTGTTCTTTATTGCAGTTAGGAGGTCAGAGTTAAAGCAACACCTTCTAGGTCTGGTAATGTTTAAAGACTTCTCAATGACTTTGGCATAAAATTTTCATTTTGATAGGTGAGAATTTATATTCAGATTATGAATAAAATGTACAACGTGTAACTGGTAGTCATGCATCAGAATACGTACTTTTAACAAAGAGTGATCAAGACCAATAGAAAATACTTCAAATAATAATTATTAACTCTGTTCTGTATACAGATCAATCAGCTTCTGATGCCTGTGTTTTAACTTTCTTTTGATAGCCGTGAGAAGCTGTGGATATGCATGGAATACTGCGGTGGGGGATCCCTCCAAGATATTTACCATGGTAATTGAAAATTGAAACTTATTTTAGCATTTGTACCTTTTGGAAGCCTTTTTGCAAAGAAGAAAAATAAATAATAAGTAAACTGACGGGAAGTGGTTGGTGCTGGCCAGGTATTGTGCATTGCACATGTTTTTTCTTAGGGTGTGAACAGTGGTTTTTAGCTACAATCAACAGATTTTGTTGAGAGCGCTTCTCAAATATGGTGACTGTCATTTTGGGCTAACACCCTGTCATTCTAGGGTGGAACATGCTTTATTTTTTAAGCATCACACTGTTTTATTCTTCTCCACAATACTTGGGGGACTGACCCAAAGAGCTTGAGTTATTCCCATGGAGAAGCTCTTCAGTAGCTGCAGTTGCTGTACACGGGGAGCTCGCCTGTGTCTTGGCTTCTCTTGGCCCGTGTCTCGGAATGCCATATGCAAAAGCAGGTTATCTGCTTTCTGACGGGGTGGAAAAAAGACCTCTAAAAAAGTTCACATCCAGAAATCACGCTAATTGGATATGGAGACTGTACATGGTGTGAGGAAGCAGTTTTTTCTGGGAAATCTCTACATTTGATCTTTAGAGGGTAGAAATGACTTGTTATTCTTCCTTCTGTGCAGTACTGTACCACTCTTTTTTTATTATTTTCCCCTCTGAGGTTTCATCTAGAGTTATTGATTTTGTGGAAGGATTTGTTGGAGTTGTTGGAAAAGCAGTCTGGGGACTTGCTCAGCCTTTAAATGATAACATGGAGTTTTTGAATATCAGAGCTCTTCCTGCTTTATTTTTCAGCCAGTTAGTACAAATAGCTTTAAAACAATTCAAAGTCTCATAGGCCCCTAGTATTGCCATTTCTAATATTAAAAAATTAGCAGAAGTCACTTTTATTATTTCTTACCTTCCTCGGAATACAGGATATTACTACGAAGTCACTTGTAAAATGATAATTAGATTTCTGTCAAAACAGTTTTCTTCTTGCTGTGGGTATTGTTTTCTGTTATTGCGCTGGGTTTTTTCACAGAAAGCCTTTCTGTAAAACAAGCAAACAAACCCCTCTTTTCAGCTCAATGTAAAATACAGTTCATGCAAAATCAGTCTTTAACTTTTGCATGGAGATACCACTTTTTGGCTGCTTCACAATGTTATTTATGCATTGTATATTGTAGACTTACACACTTCTTAATCTTTGTTTTCAGTAACTGGACCTCTGTCAGAGTTACAAATTGCATATGTGTGCAGAGAAACTTTACAGGTACTGTACTTCTGCAGGTATACGATAAAGTGTTTGCTTCATGTATAGAAAGTAGAATCATAGAATCGTTTAGGTTGGAAAAGACCTTTAAGATCATCCAGTCCAACCATTAACCTCCATTACCAAGTCCACACTAAACCAGTCAAGGGTAGACCAGACTGAACCATGTCCCAAAGTGCCACCTCTGCCCGTTTTTTGAACCCCTCCAGGGATGGGGACTCCCCCACCTCTCTGGGCAGCCTGTTCCAGTGCTTGACCACTCCTTCCGTGAAGAAATTTTTCCTAATATCCAATCTAAACCTTGCCTGGCACAGCTTGAGCTCATTTCCTCTTGTCCTAAAGTAGATACAGAAGATGATTTCAGAAAGTGCTGCAGTACCGTCACTTACGTTTGTAAGCACTGGGAACCTAGCTGAAACCAATTAACCAGGGTTAATTTGTGAGTTTCCATACGGTAAATAAAAATTAGCAAGAAACTCCAGTAATGTAGTGCAAATATTTGCTTAAAATCATTGTCAGAGCAGTGCTGCTTCTGTGCTGTAATTTGCAAAGGAGTTTGCAGGAGAGTAGACGTCTCTGTGGATCCCACTGCAGGACCAAAGTACTGAACCTCAGTCCTGCTCCTGTTTTTTGGTGCGCCTGTTGGTTTTGGGGAAACTGTAGAAGACAGATCCATGCAGGCTGTGACCTCAGTGTTGTCTGGACTATTTTCATCTGCTGTTCTAACACAGTGATTCAGTGCAGCAGTTGTTCAGGACAGATTTTTGAATCTCGCTGCAGAAAATGGCTAATACCTAATAAGTAAGGGTAAGTAGCTGAGTAATGGAGGAAAAAAAAAAAAAGCACATTTTAAACTGCCTGCTTGATCTATGGCAGTAAATTCTAACAATTTGTAGAGGAAAAATACAGCAACCAGACGACTAAAATTCTCTTTCATTTTGTGATTGCTAATAACTGTAGAACTACAAGATAAGACGATGCGGGCAGCTTGTTTCTTAAAGGAATTTTTCTTTCCCTTCTCTGTGTATCCATGAATAATTTTGTGAGAGCATCACGGCGATGCACACCTTTCCCTGAAGCGGTGGCTGAACTGGTCGCTGCCAGGGGCAGGGGTGTAGACCCATGAACTAATCTGCTTGGCAGTTCTATTCCTCATCTCTTCTTACTGCAGGGACTCGTATTGCTGGAAGGGCAGCTTAAAGGCCAAACACCTGCTTGTCGAAGCCTTCAGGACTTCAAAAATAGAGTTAATTTTAGTAAAGGGAGAAGGTGATGTATCTTGAGGTTTGTTTTGAAAATACACATCTGTCTATGTAAAATGTTACACCATGACTGGTTTAAACGAGTCTTCACATGTGCTGGCTGGAGCTGGGAGAGATGAGGAACAGAATCCAGCGTACCTCTTATCTGCAAATCTCAAATTTCTCCACTTTCAAATAAAATATGTTGAGTAATTTAAATATATTAAATGGGATTGGCTTTGTAGTATGGCAAAATGACGCATTGTGTCTCTTTTATTTCCAGGGTCTTGCTTATTTGCATATGAAGGGCAAAATGCATAGAGATATAAAGGTAACTTGGAATGTTGAGAAACTTATCTTAAAATTTCTAGCAGAGAAAAATATTCCTGATAAAGATGTTTAACTTTATTTATTATGTTTTAGGGTGCAAATATTCTACTAACAGACCATGGAGATGTCAAATTAGGTAAGTTGTCTGAATTTAATAAGAAGACAGAAAGCAATTGGAAACGTTTTAATTTGATCAATCAAAAGCTACAGTACCAGCTGGGATACTTTGATTTAGCACGTTGCCTTTTACTTTTATCATTCCACTAAGACAAAAAATAACCAGAATGTAGAGACCGTGCCTCCCAAGAAGAATATTCAGCTTTTTTAAGGCTTTGTTTTGTGTTGGACAGCACATGCGCAGCAAAGATTGGGCTTGCTACAAATGATAAAGCATAATACAGCAGATCTGTATTGTTGTAGTCAGTTTTATTAGATACTCTTCTCAGTGGCATAAACCTTTTGGTGTTCCACTGTAGGATGTTCTTATTCTTATTTGGGGCAGTAGTTGATGACAGAAAGTATGTATCCATGGGCTTGTGTATGTATGAGATGAGTTTTGCATTCTATTGAGAAGTTACAGATAATTTCTTTTTTCAACCACCAAGCCTTGAAGCCTCCCAGGTTTCCCTGGAATTTGCCAGGTTGGGGTTACCTGGATATCAGCACGTTTGTTCCTAGCCAGAATGGCAGTTCTCCCTCAGAGCCTCCAAGGATCCACTGCGTGAGACAGCGTCTCCCGAGCCTGGCAGCCTGTGGACATGTGGGGTTTGATCCTGGCTGTGCCTCTAGCCCAGTGTATGACGTTGGGCATTTCCACGCAGGTGGAGAAGAAGAAACTCTCCTCCTTTGCAAGCGCTCTGAGGTCTACAGATGAAAACTCAGAAGAGATCTGTATTACTGGCTTTCTCCAGTGATGCTTTGCATTTAGCGCAGCACGGACAGGCTGAATCTCGTTATCTGAGTGTGCTGCCTTCAAAACCCCTATCTGCTTGTCTGATGCCTCACTTCACAGAAGTCTACATGTAATTAGGGCTCTGCAGGAAGTAGGAGCAGGCATCCTGGGAGAAGGAATGGGATGCTCGTCATCTTGCCGTGTCCGGTGTTGGAATCGGGGCGGTTGTGCATTAGCTGCATCGCTGCTCTTCAGAAAAGCTGTGTGGTTCAACACGTTTACTCGCCTGTGGTGAACCAGGAATGCTGTGCTAGGAAAGTATGGCTTTTTAAAGAAGGAGGAGGAAAAAAAACCAAAAAACAAGATTAAAACCTTGAAATAGATAGGAGATTCCACTAACTGTATTAAACTTGGGTTACACACCGATACCTTCCTTTTGCCTGCTAAGCTAGTTAGATTTGCCCACAATTATCCTCCAGCTGTCATACTACAAATGCAATAAAATTAAAAAGGACTTAAATGATTTTTGGCTCTGCAAGACCACCTGATTATCTGCAGCTCTGAGAGCAAGGGATTATTGTCCCCTAGACAGAGTCTCCAGAAATGAGAACAGATGGCACCCCACAGTTCATCCATAAGTAACACAGAAACAGTACCGTTTCCAAAGCATGATGCTGTTTTTCCTCTTGAATATTAAATTGAATATCCACTAAATTTTGTGAGGTTGCTTGGTTGCTGTATTGTGAGATGGAAAAATAGCTAGGAGAGGAACAGTCATGAGTGAGCTGTGTGTAGAAACTAAACTCTTCAATCTGAAGTCAAGTCAGTGAAGACATTAGCTGATCTCATTATTAATCTTTAACTGTTGAAGCTTGGTGAATTTTTAATTTGGATGAGAAAAGTGATTGTTCTTCTGTAATATGATGTTTCCTAGAGTTGAATTGGGGTCTTAAAATGAGATTTCTAAGTCTATGATAATTTTATTTTCCAGCTGACTTTGGTGTAGCAGCAAAAATAACAGCCACCATTGCGAAGAGGAAATCATTTATTGGTACCCCTTACTGGTAATAAACTACTTTGATTGCTATGATTGTATGCAAAGCGAAGTCTGTATTTATGCCAAGAATTCTAAAATACACACACTGAAGTATACACATGTATGTTTAAATATATATAGTAAATTGCATAAATTCCCTTTCTTCCAAGTAAAATGTCCAAAGGGTAAAAGCCTGGGAAGCACTGATTGTAGCTGATCTGTTGCTGTAACGCAAGCTACCTGATATTTGAGGCAGGATGGCCGTTTCTCGCAATTTTTTTTAATGCAGAACATTCTCCCCTTTTTCTGGATACCTAATGGTCATTCAGTTCCTCAGTAGCTTCTTACACTTTTAGTGAATAAACTAAACAATGTCTTTTCGATTTCTGTGCAGAAAGAATTGTGAAGAAAACAAGATTTGACACTACCTTTTAATCATCTCCACTGATTAATGTCTGTACAAGACAGCGTTTAATATGCAAATATATCATTGTAAATCTTGAGCTGGATTATGTATGCGACTTTAACTGCTGTCGGTTTCTGGCATTACTGTGATGCAGTGGAGGCGCCTAGGCCGGTATTCTTGGTATAGACTGAACGCATACAGCTTAATCCAGACAATGGCTTTTAATTGTTCGCTGCCCTCTTTATCCTGTTGGAGAAGGAGGACTGAGGGCAGGAAGATTATCTGGTCATTAAAGCATTTCACCAGGAATCATGAGACTGGTTCTATTCCTAGCGCTGCTGTCCAGCCCGTGACCTGGGGCAAAGCACGTCACCTCTGTGTGCTTCCCCGCTCCCCTAGTGCCGGGTGAGGGGAGGGGGACATCAGGCTTTTCCCTGACTTACGCTCTTTGGGGGGGGTTCTGCTCCAGGGTTATGCGATGTGCTTTGTGCCTCCCGCGTGCGGGCACTGTTCAGAAGCGGCTGGTGCTCTCAATGAACAATGCCTTTGCTTTTAAAGGATGGCCCCAGAAGTTGCAGCGGTGGAAAAGAACGGTGGATATAACCAGCTCTGCGATATCTGGGCGGTTGGCATAACAGCGATTGAACTTGCAGAGCTTCAGCCGCCCATGTTTGATCTTCACCCGATGAGGTCTGCTGGCTGGGGAGCTCGCTTGTCTCCAGGACCCTCTTCCGTCCCAGCGAGTTTAACCTTCTCCGTAGCTCAGACCTAGAAACTCACGCTAGGATTCCTTCATCAAACATCTGCTTTCTGCTGTGTCTGTTTTTAAGGCATCAGTCTGAAGCTAAAGACTTAAATTGAGAATTGAAATTATAACTGAGATTTTTAAATTAAAAAAAAAAAAATTTGTAGTGTCATCAACAATCTGATTAAGAGCAAGTACAGCTTTACTATCTAGTGATAGTAAATCACTAGAGAAGCTGTAGCCTTATGTTTAACAGGATTATGTATGGCAATAAAAAGATTTTATTTAAAGATAAGAAAATCAACAGCTTTACTGTGTCTGTCCTCTAACACAGTACAGACTATAATCCAGTTTCACCAGTATGGTTCTTACCGTAAACTATTAATTTAAATTGTTTAGATATTGGAACGAAATTAATTACTTTTTTACCATATAATAACGTTTTTCTTCCTTTATCTTTAGGGCTTTGTTTTTAATGTCAAAAAGTAATTTTCAACCGCCAAAGCTAAAGGAAAAAGCAAAATGGTAGGTTAAACTCTTTCCTTTGTTCAATATTCAATGTGGAAAAACTATTTGTTGTTATTGAAGAAGGGAGGCAGTGAATAATAGTGTGTGCTAGTTTTAAACTCGGGAACGTGAGAGATGATTTCACGTACAGGAAGTTTCACTGAGAAACAACTGTTGGTTTTTATAGGTGTCTGAAAGCAAACAAGAGGGTTAAGGTCCAGCACAGGCATTTTCTGACATGACAGAAAACCGCGGTATAGGGCAGGACAGCCCTCCCTATGTAAATTGATCCCTGCCAGTGATCCAGAGGGAAACAAAATCTCCCTTCTTCAGTCCTCTTCATATGTTCTAGGAAGAAAAATTATTTTTATCCTTTCCCCTTAATTCCCATTATAGGGCATTTGCCACAGTCAGTGGGACAGGTGGTCTTTTAATCCTTACATGATTTCTTTAACCTGTGATACCTTCCTAGTGCCTGCAGGATTTTGTACCACACTTACTAACATTTTATTTATGCAACTCAATTCTGGTATGCAGGATTTTCTTTGCTCATGATGCTGCTGTACAATCTTTTCACCTTGAGGTGTTTGGGTGGGCAGATGCGTGCTAGAGAAAGAGAGAAAACACTTCTGAGGGCGTGTTTCCTATATTGAAACTGCTCAGTGTTTTGTAACGTGATTTGAAAGCAAGCAGACTTGGGCTAATATTGTCCCCAGAGAGGCATAATAACACAAATGCAATTGTGAGAAAAATGCTTAAAAAGTTGTAGGTCCAGTCATGACATCAAGTCATAATTTGGGTGTAAAAAGAGGTGATATGACAGTCACTTAAGTTGTTCTGCAAATAGCAACAAAGCATTTTAAAGAGTAAGTTGAGTCTCTGTCTAGAACATTGTATTTTATTTTCCTGCCTGTAGCCAAGAATAGTGAAATTTGTAGGTTTGCCTAGATTTTGAGGGTTTACTGGGTACATAATTCACAACTTTTATTTCTGATACCTAATTCCATAACAATTGAAACTGGGAAAAGTTGAAATAACACCATATGGTTTTGGTTTATTTTCTGTATCAAAATGTTTCCCATGCAAGATCCATGAATTGAATGGGTTTTTCCTATTTTGTTAACTTGGAAATGTAATTATTCACAAACCTGAGATATGAGATACCTGGACGACATTGTAATTTAGCACACCCTTTTGTAATCTGTTTAGTAACTGTGTTAAAATCAAAAATATCTTCTTGAAATATTAAACATAAAACCTCATTTTTCTTTAAGGTCATCAACATTCCATAATTTTGTCAAAATAGCACTTACAAAAAATCCAAAGAAGAGACCGACAGCAGACAGACTTCTTTCTGTAAGTGACTTGGAACATCTAGTGACATCAGTAAGAGATCTCTTGCTTCAAAGTGAGCAACAGATCAATGGGAAACCAAACTGGAACAGTTTTCTTTCTCTGATCTTATAACACGCGTGGTGAAATCTGAAAGAGAGAGATATTGGTCAGCTGTAGGAAGTAGCAAGATTTTGTTCAGTAGCAAGACTTTTATACAGTTTTTTGTAGGAACCATTACAGAAGTTTGCTTCATGTTCTGTCTTCAGCCTTGTCCTTTCTGCACATGGGTGTCTCAGCCTCTTACATATAGCCGCGTAGACGTTGACCCTTCCTGTTACCCAAATAGAAAACGGATGTATTGAGCAGTTGTTTATGTATCTATTTCTGCCTTCCTAAACTCGACTGAACTACTCATGTGAAAAATGAAGTGAAGGTGTAATTGTTTGTTTGACTCAGAGTTTAAATTCCAGTTTACAAGTGGCCAAAAGTGTGGTGTTTCTGTGCTTACAGAGGGGTTAGAAAGTTTAGCCATTAAGGAGTCATGAAAGAAATAATCAAGTCCCTGGAAAGCAGGCAAAATTCAGTAACATTCTATATTGGATATTTATTAATGAAAGTTACATATCAGTTGCATATTATAACTTATTCTTTTCTGTGGTTCTAGCATAGCTTTGTAGGGCAGCCTGGCCTTTCCAGATCTTTGGCAGTTGAGCTGTTGGACAAAGTTAATAATCCTGACAACCATACACACTACAGTGAAGTTGATGATGACGATTTTGAGGTGAGAGCATCTTTTATTTTCTGTCTTTAGGTAAAACTACGGTTTAAATATCCTGCTTTGCTTTGGGAATGTAAGATTGCAGCTTGACAGGGGTGCTGCCCCAACATTTTTAGAGCTCCATTTTTAGAGTTACCATGCAGGAGAAGCCAGGAAATACGGCACAGCACTTGTCACGCTTACGCTGCGGGTGTATAGAAGGATCCTGTGCACGGGCTGTGCAAGGCTAGGACAAAGGTGGTGCACGTTGCAGTGTGTGACTGCAACAGCTATTCTTTCTCCTTGGTGGTTTGATTGTTGATTGAGATCCAACAGAAAGCCATGCGACTTTTCTCAGCTTTTCCCTTTATAACCCTTGCAGCCTCACTCCGTTATCCGCCATACAATTCGTTCTACGAACAGGAACATTAGGGCAGAAAGAACGGCATCGGAGATAAACTGTAAGTTCCTGATGTGCTTTGCCCATTTTGTGGTGTTGGTTTGCTTCTACTGATGGAGGATGTCGGTGTCGTTCCGTTGTTGCGTACTCTGGAAAGTCTCTTCTGCTGTTGGCCCACTTGAGAAACAAAACCCCAAGAAACAGCACATACACGTGAATCTTCAATAGTATTTTTCCAAAGCCAAATTTAAAACGTGTGTATTTTTCTGCTGTTTCATTCCATGTCATTGCTGCATTGTAATGTTTATGTGGAAACCTTGCATGCCCAGCATAGCCTTTCAGCTCTGTGATTTCTATCAGACCATGCAGCCTTACTTAAAACAGCAAAAACATTAATAATGTGCGCCTCTTTTCACATGAGTGCATCGGGTGTCGTGGTGTGATGAGAAAATATAGAAAAAACATAGCATTTTGTGTTTGTCTGCACATTGTTTCAAGTTCGTAAGTGAAACCTTTTTTGGACCCTGATGGAGCGCTTGTGATTGCAATAGCTGTCCTGACCAGGGTGCATGTTAACATAATGCATTTTCTTTTAATAGAAACTTTTCTTTTCTTTTAAAAACAATATTAACACACCACTCAGTTGGATCTAAGTTGAAATTTTGAGGGTAGAAACAATCTTTCTCCAGGTGTGGACAAATGTCGTTTGCAGTGTAAATGCTATCTGCTCCTCTGCATCACATACATCACACTTCTAGGAAGCTTGCTGTTAAAAAGCCTCGTTCTTCTCTTTCACATGCATTAAAAGTAACACGTGGTTATGTAGTTAACATTTTTGTGTACTTTCATATAATGACTTGGTATTTACTTTGGGTCTGTTTCTTTCTTGTGGGTTTCATATCTGCAAATTTAAGCATTTAGACAATAACGCCGATATTTAAGTGATGGTCATGTTTTATAGGCAAATTAAGTGTTGTATACATAATATTTCGATCTGTTACAACATGTGTTTCACTGTACTAAGCATTAAAAGGGCACTATTATAATGTTGTGTGTATTAAATTTGAAAATGTAATGTTTTGCAGTTGATAAGCTGCAGTTTGAGCCCCCTCTCCGGAAAGAAACAGAAGCTCGGGATGAAATGGTAAGGGCAAGTTTGTTTTTTCCTTCGTTTATTAAAATAATAGCGTCGTCATTGTTTTGTGCTTCAAATCTAAGTAATATGTCTCTGAAGTGTAAAGGCATGAGAAGACCACTCTTGGTCCCCAGGCAGTTGCCACATTTTTAAGAAAAGAAAATTGCCCTCCATGTTTTGTGCGGAGAGTCGTGCTCAGATGAAAATAAACGACATTTGCCTATTAATTTGATGATGTTAGGAGGCCGTTCTGCGTTTGAGCCCCCGATCTCCCCATCATCAGGGTTTATTTGCTGCTTGTTTCTTGGAAGGCCGCCAGCTCGCATGCAGCCGGTTTTGCCCCCTGTGAGCTGCTGCTGTTTGTTCCAGCCCTCGGCAGTTTACTGCAGATCAGCTAATTAACGTTCTTTGGGATTAGTATGTGCCTGTGTACACAAGGGCTCCATTTTTTAATAAGCGTTGTGAATAGCAGCAGCTGCCGTTAATTTTGGTTTGGAGACATCAGTGCTCGGCACTCCAGAAAAATCCCAGTCCTGTTTTTCACAGCTGTACTCTGGTTCACCAGGTAGGTACGAGTTCATCTTTTTTTGAATGTGACTGATTAGATCTGTACATGTTGTTACTGGTGAGGTCCCCTCAGTGCCAAGTCTGGTGACAGGAGTGCTCCCAGCCTCTGTTGTGGCATCTCATGGGAGTTTGGAGGTGGCTACAGTATGTTCTCTTGCTGGAAGAGTGTCTTGGAAGTGCCCTGAGTGGAAAATATGAGTTTTCACCATAAATTTTTGCTAGATTGTAAAACAGTATTTCACTTTGGAGTTTTATTTTACTGCTTATGGGTCATTCTGCAGGGCTTGGGAATCTCCCAGGCCTCTTCATGTGCTGTGGATAAGGTACTTCAGTTTGATAGGGGGGAAAAAAAATTAAAATTTCTGCCTCTTCAGGTTGTGGCAGCTGGCACTGACTTTGCTTCGCATTGGAATCCTTTTGTTGACAGTGGAAGCAGCAAGTAAGTACATCTTTTATTTCTGTGACTTAATATGAACATACACTCTGAAAGAAAAATTGAGCTATGGTAGAAAATCAAACCGTAAGCCCTAATCCACTTTAATATTCATAAAGTTAAAGGAGATTTTACCCAGTATGCAGTCCTCCTTCTGCAGTTGGTTGGTCATTCTCTTGGGGAGTGGGTTTTAATCTCTTTTAACCACAAACAGTAGTTTGTTTTAAATTTGTTGTTGCTCCCCAGTTGTAGATGGAAAGTGAAGTGTAAATGTATGGCCAGCACACTGAAATAATGCAGCCAGGGTAAATTTTCTGAAGCAAAGCTGCCAACCCTGCAAGGACTGAGTTCAGGATCCTGCGCTGGCCTTGCACTTCTCTTCTGAGCTGCGGCTGTGGTTGTGACATCCTGTGGCAAAGTGTGATTGCAGCCCTGAAACAAGAAAGGGAAGGAGAAACCCGTTCTGAAGATTTAGTTTTACCAAGTTCAGTATGACGGCATGACTGCTGCTGCTGCGGGTGTCTGATCGGTGTAATATATAATACAGTCATGTGGTGTTCTGGGGTGAAATGTTTTAGGTAAAGGTGTGCTGTAGCTGATTTCCCCTGGGATAAAGCAGGCCTGAAGTAAGGGAGCACAACTCTGTCCAAGTAGGGACCGAATTCATTAGGTATGTGGCTTCCTTTTGCTGCAAAATACTGGATTCTGCCTTTAAAGGCAATCTTTGAATTTGCAGTGAATATGGAAGTTCAGTAATACCGACTGATGCACGTACATAGGGAAAGATGATATTTCGGTTGAAATGATTGCTAAGCTAAAAGAGCCTGCTTCCCCTCTTTATTTGGAACTGAGGAGCAGACAGTGAATTTCTTTGGCTTTTTCGCAGATAAAGTCTTGCATAAGCTGTCAGCTGACATTACAGCCCCCTGGAAAGCTGGCCGTGTCACGGAGGTTGCCAGTGTTTGGGTCTTTTTAAGTTCAACGTATTTTTCTGTTCTCACTCTTAACTGTAGTTAAAGTTTGGGGTGGCTCTCTAGGCCTTGCCTTTCCCTGTCCAGCGATGACAGCGACTGCTTTCCTTCCTCTCTCGGTTTGTTTGTGTGACCCTGATGAGCTGCAGATTGAAAGCCTTTCTTGTGAGTTCTGGCTTTTCTGCAGACAGCTGGAATCTGCGGGGTCGAGGAGGAGGGAGGGAGGGAAGCTTCTCCCGGCAGAGTGACTTATCGATTTGATTCTGTTTCCATAGCGTTATTAAGATTGTCTATTCCAGGCTGTATTAAAAGCAAAATGAACGTAGCCGCAGCAAACATTGCTAGGGCTATAAATCAGTAAATAGATACAGATTTAGTATTGAAAGGAGGACAGGCATAAAGTTTCTGGATGGTGAATCTGTGCTGCTTACTTGGAAACCACTTCCAGTTTAAAAAGATAAACAGGAAACGCATAGCTCCTCTGTCCCAGCAATTCTGAGTAATACCAGGGATGTAGAGGGAGGCTGTGTGCTGGGGGGTCCTTGCTTTCCATGCCCTTTGGCTTTTATCAGAGTAAATGGCGATTTATATCTTTCACTTGGGAATTACTTGACTGGAAAGGGGAATACCAGAATGTGTACCTGATGATTGAACTAACTTACTTTTTTTTTTTTTCCCCATCCTCATTGTAGCATTTTAAAATTATTTTTATAAAATTTTCCGTATTATGGAGGTGGTTTTTGTTGATAGTTGGACTTTTAAAAATTTTTTTAGTAGTTCCTGTTGGCAACTGTCTGCTGCTTTCCCTTCAGAAGTAAGTTGCAGGGAAATTTTACATTAATCCCAATTTGGCTGGGTTAGTTTTTGTCTAATACGCTTCTGTTTTCCTGTTCATTACCCCTGTGGTCCTTCCTCAGTGGGTGATGTGGTGTGCTGTGGAACGTGGAAGGACGTGCGAGTTGGTGGGGTACGGGGCTGTCTGCTCTGCAGCGGAGACTGGGACTGTACCAGGCTGCTGCAGCCTTCAGAAGCCTTCAGAAGCTTAGACTTCACAACATCACAACAGCATACCGAGGAACACTTTTTATTGAGTTTAGATTTATGGTTTAGATTTTTTTAGATTTAATGCAGTTTAATTTTTTTTTTTTGAAGACACAGCTTGAAGATTGCCATTTTGCAAAATTTTATCACTTTTTTGTTTCAGGATTATATTTGCAGTGCTGCTTTGATTTTCTAGTCACAATTTCTTTCTTGACCCTGGGGTAGCTTTGAAACAAAAATTCCCACTGTAATGGGAAACAATCTGTACCTGTAGCGTGTAACACTAAAGGAGGAAACTTCCCTTTGTAAAGGCTTTTCTCCATTTGTCTCCCAGTAACTTCCTCTGTTCTTGTCTTTTTTTCTTCTTCTTTTCTATGATACTGTTATTAGGCATTTCAACAATATTTAAAATACCAGGTAGGGAAATGAAAGATGAGTTGATGGTATCTGGTACAGAAGAGAGCCCCAATGATTATTGGGAGGCGAGGGGAAGGAAAGGAAAGGACTGTACTAAATGAAAAAGGACTTAATGCAGCAAGTAAGAGAGAAATACTTTTTTTTTTTTTTTTTTTTTTTTTAAAAGGGCTGGGAGATCCTTGTTATGAAACTAAATGACATCACCGATCGGTTTAGTTGCAGGTGTTGACCTTAGAGCAGAGCTCTTAATTTTATAAACATTTTACCTAGGGGACTGCTTACAAAATTTGGCGATGGGAGTGAAGATGTTGAAGAGTGAGTGGACCTCCTTCACATACAGTTCTGTTTACTCCGTGCGGCTCTCGCTAAAGCAGGCAGCGTTCTGGCAAAACCTCTTTCTTTAAAATGCTGCAGGCAGCTTTGCCACTCATAAGTAAGCGAGGGCCGGTTGCACTCAAAGGTCTAACGCACGCTTGACTCTTGGTCTGATCGTCAGGAGAATGTCCGCAAAGCAATGCCTTCTTCCCTCGCTCTCCTTCCTGAGGTCATCTCAGAGTGCATATGGAAGTGCCTAATACTTTAAAGCAGGTTTTGTGTTGATTAATCCATCAGTCATGAGCCAGGCCCAGTGGTGACAGTTCGTGCAGATATCCCTGCAGAGCTCTGGTGGGGTACGTGCGGCTCCTCTGGTGCCCAGACGTTTGTCCGATCCACAGCAAAAGCTGCAAACCGCACCGAGCTAGTGCCTGAACGTATATTTAGTTGCTAATTTCAAAGGCCCGTCACCCCAGAATGCTCTGTAACATTGGCATTTATGAAAGAACATGAGTTTATCAAACACCACCTCTTCTAACAACATTAACGTGCTTTTTCCCCACTCTTGGACTTGGAGTTTAACGCTGTTCATGCAAAGCTGCGATCCGTCTTTTCTATGCATCTAGCTCGTCTTATTTACAGTCTGTGTTCTCAAGTAATTCTGTTTATGTTGCTGGTTTAACTAAGATGACTGCTGCACTTTTTCATTGTAGATCAACACTAAAGCGAGCCGGGCCACCTCCCCTACCTCCTAAGGTAAGAGATGGTGGTTTTGAAGAATTTTAGGCGGCAAACCCGACTCCTGCAGCCTCTGCAGCACTTCCATCTGATGCTCTCAGTAGGCGATCAATTCTGTTAAATACCATTTGCTAGCAGACTTTGTGTAGCTTCATATTTTATGCTGACTTGCAGTCTGTACGGTCTCGACCTCTGGGGCCTCCTGGCCTTGCACGCTGCCCTAGACAAAGTGACTCGTAGGTATTTTCTCTCTAAAGAGAACATGCTGCGTGGGATGTCCTCTTGTTCAGCATTCTGCCTGCTGCTGTGATTTTCTGCCAGAGAAGGAATACCTCTTAGATTATTCTGCTGTCAAATGTCTTTTTTTCAAAGGCTGATATTTTTTTATGTAGAAGCAGTCTGACTTGAATTCAACTTGTCTGAAGTTTATGCTTCCAGGTGCCATTTCCCAGGTAACCTTCACCTCTTTGGTTTGTTGCAGCCGAGAATAAACAGTTATCCTGAGGAAAACCTTCCAGATGATGAGAAATGCCAGACAATAAAACATTTCCCAGACTCCCAGAACAGAGCCCCACCAGCTCACAGGAGACAAAGTATCCCTGTTTGTGGGCCTCAGACTGATTCTTCCCCCGTTGGTATGACCAGCAGCATCAGTAGCCCTGGATTGCTCACAGCTAGATACAGCGACTTAGGTAAATGCATTGCATTTCCTAAAGGCGACTTGCATCCTGTAAAAGGAAATCAGTTCTAGGGTCAGCTATTTTCAGTAGATAATTTTTGAAATACAACCTGATCACGAGGTGCAGCTTGCTTTTTTACATGTGCATCAGCTGTTTTCAGTAGATAATTTTTGAAATACAAGCTGATAACGAGGTGCAGCTTTCCTTTTTACATGTGTGCTGGTTCTTATTAGAAGGGGAGGTTTAGGATATTAGGAAAAATTTCTTCACGGAAAGGGTTGTCAAGCACTGGAACAGGCTGCCCAGGGAAGTGGTGGAGTCCCCATCCCTGGAGGTATTTAAAAGACGTGTAGACGTGGTGCTTAGGGACATGGTTTAGTGGTGGGCTTGGCAGTGCTGGGTTTATGGTTGGACTTGATAATCTTAAAGGTCTTTTCCAACCTAAATGATTCTGTGATTAGAGCCATGATCCATGGTGGAAAAGTTCTTCCCAAAACAAGGACAGCCAACCAGTCGATACCATTCCTGTGTTGCCTGCAGAAATAGCAGAAAAACAACAAATGTGCAAGGAAGATCGTCTGCGAGGAACTTGCCACAGGTTTATTCTCAGCTGTGTGTGGCCCGGGGACTGTTTGGATAATGGAAAGCCTTTATTACTGAAAGTCTTTATTACTGTGTAGCTTCGCACGCAGCTGTCCTTGAAAGGGTTCAGCTACCTGGGATGTGTACATGCAAGTTTAAGAGCTCACTTCTCTACTCCTACTAGACAGAGGGGAGAAGAGAGAATAGGGCAACAAAATATTTTCTATTTCACTGTGTCAAGTGAGCTACAAAATGTGTCTGGGCTTCTTCTCAGGAAATGGGGATGGCATGCTGAAACTCATTGAAGAAAATGCAGAAGGGTCTGGACAAATCCCTCAATTGCCACGTAAAAAAGAGAAAAGAGATTTTCCTGTAAGTATTGTGACTCCCAGTCTGATTTCACTGTCATGTTAGCTAGCTAGTTTTATATCAGTGCATGGGAGGTATTTTATGATCTTTCTTTCTTCCCACAGAAGCCAGCAATCAATGGTTTACCACCAACACCAAAGGTGCTGGTAAGAAATCTCATTTGCAGTAGGAGTTTTTGGAAGGCTGCTGTCATGGCATCTCTCTAGTGTCAGAAAGTTTATATTAGAATAAGCCACCAGCTCATCTGGGGTCATTTCCTGCAGCTCATAGCCGGTTACTTTTCATGTACTGAATCCACGATACTTGTTTCCTTTTCTTAAAAAGCTTCCTTTCACTATCCAGTCTGGGTGCGAAGGGTTGGAGACTTCACTGGCTCTGGGGGTTGTCATCTCCAGTGGCAGTCTCTGCTTAGTAAAGAGAAAGGGGTAGAGGTGGTAGTGATGTGAGAGGGTGTTATTACTTTAACATCTCCGCTTGTTTTCCCTTCATATGCCATTTTTAAAAGCACTCAATATTCTTACCCAGTAGGTACTTAAAATTGTTCACATCATTCTGATCCCTCTTTGTGTTTCTTTATATATATGAAGTCTATGAAAAGGTTTGGAAGGCTGCATTGTAGCTTTTGGGGAAGATAAGAATGTTTTGCATCAAAGCATATTAGAGTAAGTTTGCATCTGGAAAAAGAGAGCAGCAGTGTGTACAAAGCGGCCAAGTGCCAGAAGATAAACACTTTATACCGTAAACTTGTTTCAGGTTTCAGTTTTGGTGTCTTTCAGATGGGAGCGTGTTTTTCCAAAGTCTTTGATGGTTGTCCTTTGAAGATTAATTGTGCAACATCGTGGATACATCCAGATACCAAAGGTAGAGTTATTTTAGGTTTGTATTTTAAACCTGCCTGTTGCCAAAGTTGTAATGAGCTTGTGAAATAATCAATTTCTCTTAAATTTTTAGATCAGTACATTATCTTTGGCACGGAAGAAGGTATCTATACTTTGAATTTGAATGAACTTCACGAAGCAACGATGGAACAGGTGATTTTTAGTGTGTTGAACACACAGAATAGATCTGGGGATATTATGAAGCAAGAAAGTTTGATATTTGAGGGGGTAGATAGGTTGCCAGGCTTTGTGGCATAAACTGATTCACATCAAAGCAGCAATGGAAGTCTGAAAATTAATAGTTCCCCTGCCTACCTGAAGTTTTTGTTGCTGCTTATGTAACGTTGCTTTCAAAGGAGTTATCTACTAAAACATCTTTCTTCTCCTTGGAGACAACAGATTACCTGCCCTTTCTCTCTCCATTTTATCTCCACTAGATGGCATGTTGCTTCTCCACTGGATGCTACCAGAACCCTCAACCATTTAATTTAGCTGGCATTGTTATCACCAATAAATATGCATTTGCTTCTGTTTTCTTGGGCTCTCTAACCCTTTGCAAAGCCACTTCATGCAATCATGGTATTGTTACATTTGCTTTTTCAGAATCGGGAGTAGCAGAGTATTCTTGGCAGGGAAGCGTAGGCGGATGCCGATACTGAGATTTATACTTGTAGGTTTTTAAAGCAGTTCACAAAGGCACTTCAGGCCTCTAAAGAGCGTTAAATTCAGTCAAGACATGGCACAGGTCCGAAAGCAGAGGTGGCAGGGTGGGTGTACCTATGACTAATAGTGAGAGAAAGATGATTTCACAGAAAGGGCACTGCACAGAGATCTGTGCTTAAGAGGAGAAAGTCCTCTGTTTCTGGCAGCATCATGCTAGGGGCCAAAACTCGAGAGGGGCAAAAGAAAAGGGGAAGCAGTTCAGCAAGGTCATGTTGGGGGGTAGTCTGGCACAGGCAAAAGCAAGAGAAGATTAGAAAGGGCTTGATGGTGAGAACTGGGAATTTGAATTCCATACAATTAGAAGATCCTTTCAAGTTAAGAGAGCTGAGGGTGCACCTGAATGCAATAGGACAGAGTTGAATATGAAGTTTCTTACCTTTTTGTAGCCTCAGTAGACATGGGGAACAACTACTTTTACAATAAATTTCTAAAAATTGTGGTGGCAACTGTTGGAGACCCCCTGGCCTTCTTACCTCAATTTTCTCTTTACTCTGTTAGTCAAAGCAATCTCTGTCCTTGCACATTTTCCTGAATTGTTTCATGTAACAGTCTTCTCTGGATTCTTCCACATGCTTTTTTTACCCTACTGAAAGGTTAGATGTGCCAGTGGTAGGCAGAGAGAACTTAGTAGTGTCTACTTACGACATTCAGTACATCCCAAAATGAAAGTTTCCTTTTCTGTGAGAGCACCCTCAGTTTGGAGAGGTCAGGTGTGATCCACTACAAACCCCAGAGGCTTTACAACTGTGCTTCTGCCGTACCGTTTGTTTCCTTATTTGCGTTTATTCGTTTCATGATTTCTCCCCACCAAATGAACATTTTTAACTGTTTCTCCAACTTGTAGCTCTGATTGCATCTTCCAAAGTGCTTGCTGTCTCTCCAAGGTTAATATCTCCCAATTTCAGAAGTATACTTTTATTCCATTGTTAGTTTTTCAGTGGAAATACTGAATAGAACGAGACCCAGAGAAGACACTATAGAAGATACTATCTACAGGCTGCTTTTTCCTTCTAGTAAATAGCGAATTGCTGATAGATACTCTGGGTTTATGTCCAACCAGTTGTATGGTTTTTTTCTGCAACTTCTTCTACCCCGTATTTTCTTACTTTGCACGTGGAAATGGCAAGGTCCTTCACATATGTTTCACGTCTTACTGTTTCACTGCCCCAAGCATGGCAGTTATTCTGTTGAAGGAGGAAATTCAGATGTTCAAATACAGCCTTTTCTGAGCAAGCCTGCACTAGCTGTTCTTGGTATCGCTCGGTAATTAAAAAATATGTGGCTTGTTCCTGTGCTACTCTGGATATACAGTCAGTCAGTCAGACTATTTTGCAATTCCCACTGCCCTTTTTATTTGGCATAGGTACTGTGTTTGTCCTTCTTGAGGTCCTTGTTCGTCCTTCAGCAGTTCTTGAAGATAATCATTACTGAGACCTTGGGGTTTGAGCCAGTTCTTAAGTAGTGTAAAGTAAACTTCATTGGGACCTGCTGACATGAGTATATCTAGTTGAAATAGTGTGTAATGTGTTCTTTTCCTGCTTCTAGCACACGTTTCTACCCTAGTGCTACTAACTGTGTTAATCATGCAGTCTTTCTTTCCTGTAGTCAAGCAGTGGGCCGAGCCTTTTGTTTTCCCTGTTACCTTATGTTTAACGACTTCTATTATGTTGGTAATTTGATTTGCATCTTAACCTTTCTTAGGTTTCTTCCTTCAGGCTTATCTTGTGATTGCCTCTTCTCCTTAGCGTGTCCTTGTTTCAGTTTTCTGTATGATATATTGTGTTACTTAAGGCATAGGGGGGACGTAAGAAATATTTACCTGTCTTGGAGTGGCTTGGAGAGGGTTCATAGGGCACAAGTAATCCCCTTCTCTTCCAGTGGGGCCATTAAATGAAGCTAGTGGAGCCAAATTAAAAACAAACAGTGGGTAACTGGCCTAGGACTTTTTGCTATGGGGAGCTGCAAATGCTAGGAGTTACCCGAGTTCAGAGGGGAGACTGGACAAATTTATGGAGGATAAATCCACTGAAGCCCACTAAATGCATAAAGCCCGTCTCTGATTCAGCAGGTCTCTGAGCTGAAGAACTTGGTGCCTGGCAGAGCATTAGGTGCAGGATTGTATAAATTCTTTCCATGTTTTCACCATTTTTGGGAGAAATTATGTCACTTCGTGGTGACTGTTGGGAACAGATGTTAGGTGAGATGGACATTTGCATGAACCAGTACAACCATTCTTTTGTAGGGCCTTGATTCAAGTGTCTTCTGCTGTGTTTTGCAACAACTTCCCTCAGTGGACCAGTCTGCTCTTTTCTTTTTTTCTTAGTCTCCTTTAGAAACAGCTTAATGCTTTGAACTCCTTATTTTTTTTATTGGAAGCTTCTTCTTGAGGGAGAACCTTACCTATGAATATTGTTCAATAAATTTAGTCTTTCTTTTTTTTTTTTTTTTTTTTTTTTAACAAAATCCTTGTCCTTATTCTGTTGTCCTTATTCCTTCTTTTTTTGAGACTCCTGAATGCTGTCATTTGCCATCACTTTTATCAAAATTCCCTTCAGGCTGTCAAGAGGTTCTTCTTAACTTTCAAATCTTCTCAAATCTAGACTAGCTGCCCCTTGAGTAACTTCTTACCATCTGAAACAAAAATAAGTCCCAATGCCTTCCATTAGCTGTTTACAAAGCAGTGTGCTAACACAAATAGCCAGACAGGTAAATCCCACAAAATTCAGGATTTTGTGGTAATTCAAGTTGCTTAGAAAATACTAATGCATTTTTTTCTTCTGATTTTTGTAGGGTTTAGTAGGTTTCTGTAATAAAGTTATCTTTCTCTGGCTGTCGTTCCTGAGCAAGCTATGTCTTTCTATATATGATATTCCAGTCTTGCCAGTTGTCCCACTTTGGCTCTGTGCTGCTAATGAAAAAATGAAGAAAAATTGAATTTTGAAAGTTTCAGGGGTAGAAGGGGGAAGGAATGAAAACTATTTCAGACAGATAAAAGGGCCAAGCAAGGGTTCAAAGAGTGAATTAAAGGGGAAACTGTAGTTGCAGCTGGGACTTTCTCCAGTGTCGATCCCTGCAGGAATGGTGGCAGAGGTGGAGCAGGCAGAGAAAACCGCGGCTGGAAATTCCTGTCTGTTTCTGTTAATGGAAATATTTTCTTTCTTCAGTTGTTTCCCCGAAAGTGCACCTGGCTGTATGTTATCAATAACACCTTAATGTCCTTGTCAGGTATGTATAAATAGAAGGAAAATTAATAAAATTATAAATAAAGAGAAACATTTAAAGTCATAGTTCAGTACAATGTATTTTGATTGTACTGAAGGAGAAAACTGTGCATTGTTTCTTGTGTTTGTATAGGAAGCTTTGCTTCGAGAGTGTTTTAATGTGAAAGACTTTCAGAGGTAAAACTGGACGTTTACAAATAGTAGAGCCAGTTATCTGCAGTGTCCCACCATATTTTTTTTATTTACTTATTTTCAGTTAGTTTGGAAAAGCTGGGCACTTGGCCTTTGTCAAACAAGAGTTGCCTCTGCCGAGGCTGCAATTTGACTGAAAGTGCCTGCAGAATCTAAAGAGTGTCCTCTTTGGTCCCTGAGCTAGGAGAGTCAGAATAAGGATGGCTTTCATGTGTCAGAGCACAACTGGGAGAGGATTAACATAGGTACATTATCAAAACGTCGATGCAGTGTTTGATCATTCTCGGTGTATTGTAGCCTGGCAGCGTCTTTGGTATGAACCAGATTCAGAAAATAAATCCACCCTAAAGCAAAACCAGTCTCAATTTAAAGGAGAGTGAGGTGGCTGTGAACTACTACTAATCTAGCAGATTGATTCTTGAAAAAAATACATTTTTCAGCAGTTGTCCTGGAATAGGACATTCTAGATAGGAAACAGAGGCACTGTGGCATGCAGACTAATTGTAGGGCTGTGCTTTTAAACATGCAGGATTTTGCGTAACACCACTTTTATTGATTTATAGATAAAAAAAGATGTCCTGATATAATTAATGGTTGGTGTATAATTACAGCCTTCTAAAAATGTGTACGTAAAACTAAAAGCTGCTTTAGCGTTACTGAAATGAACTTTGAGTTGAATGCCGTGTCTTCTCTATATGCATTGTTATTGTTGTCTTGTTTTATTTTTCTTCATAACTGGACTTGAAATATTTGACGCACGTGCTCCGTTTCTCTAGAAGGTAATTTTCTATACATACATTTTTCTAAAACGTGCAGTTCGCTGCTGGAGGCGTGGGTGCGATATCAATTGTGCTTTTCTCTCTTACAGGGAAAACATTCCAGCTCTACTCCCATAATTTAATAGCTTTGTTTGAACAAGCCAAAAAAACAGGATTAGCTGCTCATATTCAAACCCATAGGTTTCCTGACAAAATATTACCAAGGTACAAATCTTTCACTTACGAACAATTATTAACAAGTGAAAATTCCCATAAATACCATTTGTGCTGTTGAATTGGTAGCATGAAGGGCCTTTGGCATCTCTTATTGATGCCTTTTTTTTCATAATTGTTATTCCAGGAAGTTTGCCTTAACAACAAAGATCCCCGATACAAAAGGATGCCACAAATGCTGTATAGGTGAGTAGGCTCTCAGTTTTGCAATTTTTTTTCCTGGCCTTTGTCGTTAGGCACGGCATGTCTTAAACTCATTTCTTTTTAATAAACTTATAGTTAGTTCATTGTTCAGAAGACAGTATGGCTACCTTATTTCTTAATGCTGTGCCTAACTGGTGCGTAGCTTTCCTTTTAATTAACGCGCGGGTCTTTATGCTCTTCGGTGGAAAAGCATTTTTCATATCAGCTCTTAACCTAGAAACGTGGCTGTCTGGAGCAAGATCCAAAGGGAAGCCCTGGAGAATGCCAGCAGCGCGCAGCTGACGGGTGTTGCACAGTCTCCTTGAGAGCTGCTGAAGCTCTCGGTGAATAAGTCAATATTTGGGATCACTGGCTTCGGGCTGCTGCCCGAGCCAGCTAGTTACTGTGAGCTGCAGAGTGCCCGCGGGTGTAACGCTTGTGACAGGATCCCAGACTTGTTGCACACGCACAAATACCCTTTCTGCTGTGTCAGTTTGGCTCAAGCTTTGACCTAGATCAATCTTTTAGCGATGCTAACTTGAAAAGAGTATTTTCCACAAAGAAAAGGCTGGATGTGAATAAAAGTTACGTCAGCCTGGGGAGCCATCGCTCAAGTTCTAAGTGCCCAGAAAAGAGTTAAAGCTTGTGGAGTTATAGATTTGTCTTTGGCTTCGCTGACTTTCAAAAAGGCTTGGGCTTTCTATAGAATACACGTCCTTTTGAAAACTGGCCCTGGTGCTGTGTGAAATTGTACCTTTTCACTCTTAAAAATGCTTAAGCAGAGTATAAAGTACCTCATTTCAAACTTGGATATCCTATTTAGCTCATATAAAGTGGCTACAGTAGGCGTAGTTACAAATGATTCCTGAAGTCAGGCTGGTCTTGTACCCAGCCAAGTTTAAAAAACCAGACCCCAAACCTTCATCGTATTATTGCATGAGCTGTCAAAGCGCAGCAAGGAGTTATGGGGTATCTTCACTGCTTGGGAATTTTTTTAATTTAAATCACAACTTGACCTGGACCTTGCACTCCCCCTGCTCGCACAGCCCCAGGAAGAAGGTTTTAGGGCTTTTCTGGCCACTCAGCATGTGGCCTCTTTACTGGGGCTCAAAGAATGCTAGTGGTTATTAATTATAAGTATAATTGAAATTGTCTAGAATGTAGCACAATATTAATCATTGTGGGTATTTGAATGGCAAGCCAGAAGGCCATTATCAGTGTGAAACTGATACTATTTTTTAAATTATTTGTAAAGATAGCTGCAGGGGTTTTTTTCAAGTAGGCATTGAACTTCCTGGTCTCAAAACATTTTGGGTTGGGTTTTTTTTTTCATGTTTTTTTTTGTTTATTTTATATAGTACGAAATCCATACACAGGACATAAATACCTGTGTGGTGCATTGCAGTCTGGAATTGTTCTACTACAGTGGTATGAGCCAATGCAGAAATTCATGTTAATAAAGGTAAGTATTTCATTTTAGAACATTTAATCGTTATACATTTATTGAAATAACCTTTCCAGAATTTGTAATGGAAAGTACATCCCAGGCTAGTTCCATTTGTGGGTTCTGAGCACTTGAAAATCTGGCTTGACACATTTTGACTAAGAAAATCTTGTGACTGAAGTCAGTCAAGTGTTGGATCAAGCCCAGTACTAGCAATAACAGACTAGCCTATACCTCTGCGCAACATAATCTTGCTCACAGCTCATGCTGTCTTAAAAAAACCCTCTTAGTAGCAGTGAAAAATTCTTCTGTATCTTTTATACTTTGTGCATGTTGTTTTAGGCTTCTTATTTCAAGGTAAAAGGAAACTGTACAAATGCTTTATTATATTTTTTTGCAGCACTTTGATTTTCCTTTGCCAAGCCCTTTGAATGTGTTTGAAATGCTAGTGATACCAGAGCAGGAGTACCCGATGGTCTGCGTAGCTATCAGTAAGGGTACTGAACCAAATCAGGTAGTTCAGTTTGAGACAATCAACTTGAACTCTGCTTCTTCGTGGTTTACAGAAATTGGTGCAGGTAAGACTGCTGGCTCGTCTTGCAGCCATTTTATTGTCTGGTAACTGTTGGATGTCCCTTCCTCACAAGTCATTTGGAAACCCTTTAGGCTAGGCAAAACGATGCAGCTTCTCTACCTAAAGCATATTGCAGCTGATCCCAGGTTCTTCTTGTGATGACCTGCCAACTATCAGTATAAACTGTCTTTCTTAAAAGACTTCATTTTTAGACACAACTTTTATTTCATAAATTTCTTTAAATAGTAATGCAGACCCTGCTGATTGGATTCTCATCTGTGGTTGCATACTTTTTCCTGGTATTTTCCCCTTCTTTCCTGTGTAAAGACTCACATAAATGCATTCTTATCTGGCTTCCAGCCCTTGGGGGAGGCTTGTCATCTTCAGCTGGCTATTAATAAGTAGAAGATTTTGGTTTATCATCAAAAGCTAGTTGATATCTTGCAGATGCTTTTCTCTGCCGGCTCTGTTGGATATACTTTTTTACATTTAAATACTGCTTTTTAGCAGCTGTACCAAGAACTTCATTAAGAAAAAATAGAAAAACTATTAAATCTAGCTTAATATCAGTACAATAATCTCTCCAGATGTAGATTTATTGGAAAAGAACATTTTTTTTTTTAGGACCGAAAATTCCCTTGATGATTCCTTTCTGTTTGTTATCACGCCTCTTCATGAAGGAAGCTGACTTGCTGGGCTGAACTGTGACATAAAATGTATTTTATGCCAATAATAAGTAGTGCTTTCATATTAAATACATGCTTTGAACTGATGAGTTTGTCCTTAGGCCCTGTACTCCTCCCAGAACATTCTGGGATCATATAACCTTAAAAAAAATTGAGAGAGTAACAAATATTGTAGATTGCAAAAGGTTCGTAGCATACTGAAAAGGCTGTAGCAGTTGGTGAGAGGTTGAGGGGAGGGGAGGCTGAGATCAGTCTTACGATGTGACACAAAATAATCTGTTTTCTTTTTCACAAGGCAATCAGCAGTTAGATGCCATTCACGTAACGCAGCTGGAAAGAGACACTGTCCTAGTCTGCCTGGACAGTAAGTAACATGTCTCTGTGGGGCAACTTACTACACCTCATGCAAAACTTGTTTTGCCACAGTTGTTGATTTTAACTTTACCACAAGTTATTTTTTCTCCCTTCATTACTAATTTGTGTTGTGATATTTCCTAACAGATACAGTTCAGATAAGCGGTTTTTCATTTTGACTCTTGTGATTCCATTTTCCCTCTTCATGTGTGCATCATTCTTGTTTCTTTTCAAAATGATATGTAATGCAGCATTACAGATCAGATTTCAAATATATGCCAATCAGAAATTTTCAAAATTTACTTGGGAAAAGTGACATTTGCCTGTTGCATACGCTAGCAGGACAAATAGCTAACAGGCCATCGTACACAGTAATTATAACCATAACTCTTGTGCATCAGAGGTCAGTGCCTCAATGGGAACTTTGCAATGACTTAGTCTGCCTAAATTTCCAACCTTTATGTTGAATTCACATTTCTGCACTGTTTGTTATTTGCAGGAAGGCTGTTGTTAGAGTCTAAAAACATACAAAGTGTATAAGAAGGTTTTCTGTATTTATTTTGAGAGAAGGATGCTCTTGGACTAATTTTAGGCAAATACTGTAGATGTTAGGCTTGGGCATTTTTTTGTGCCTGAAAGATGAAATTAGTATTTCATACTTAAAGATGTCAGTAATCCTTTTAAGCAGTGGGTTTTAATACTTGTTTTTCTGTTTTTCTTGAGAATTTGTGAAGATTGTGAATTTACAAGGGAAATTGAAGTCGAGCAAGAAATTGGCCTCCGAGCTGAGCTTTGATTTCTGCATTGAGTCAGTGGGTAAGTGATTTGCTTCTCTATTGTCTCTCAAGGACTAAAAACTTAAGAGGGATGAGTGTTGAAGGGTTTATAATAATCTAGACTGGTCCAGTGTGCCCAGTGGGGCCTGACACTAAAAATTGCATGTGTCAGGATATTGTAAGCTGTCTCTTCGTCTCCACTGACGTGCTGAAGAAAGTAAGGCAGCTGCCAGATAGTGTGTCAAATCTGCGCGTTTCCATCTGGTGTCATTTCTGGTTTATAAGTAAGATGTATCATGATTTGGTTGACAAAAAGGATGACTACTTTCTGGTCATTTCCATAGCACTGAGCAAAACCTTTGGGGAGGAGAAAATGTTTTAGTAATACATAAATTGGTGTTAGTCTTCTAAAAGCTAAGATTTTATTTAAGGTGATAGCACAGCCATTTTTTAACAGGGTAATAGTATTTGAGTCTAATTCTTAGAGGACAGGCTGCTGTCTTCAGACTGCTAGAGGACAGCAGCCTTGGTTCTAAAACTTGAATTATAATTGTCAAGCAAGTATTTCTGCTGTAAGAAGCTCTCAGGAGTACGTGATTAACATAAGTTTAATAATTCTGTATCTTGGAAACTGAACTTTCTGGAACCAAAATCAGTGAAGACACAACTTGGGTTTTGTTAGCAGCTCTGTACAACTTGCATTTCTGGGTTCCTCAGGCATCTCCTCTTCAGAAGAAGATTCCTGACATAGGTGTTTTGTATTTCGACAGCAGTTGGTAAAGTAGTGCACATTCTTCCATACAGCATCTCTATTTAGAGATGTCAGACCTGTCCTGAAGGACGATAGTCTTAATCAAGCCTGTGATTCTTCCCTAAATTCTGACATGTTCTGATTAACTGCTGTACTTGTATCGCACAATATCTCCTGCTGATGCATGCGTAACGTGACTCGACGGTTGCCTTTTCCTTGAACTCTGAAGGAATTCATAGACAGAAGCATTTGTCCCGAAGTCTCGTACTTACCAGCTGACATTGAGTAATGTCAGTCGTTCTTTACACTCCAAGTGGTCTCTTAGGAATTCAGGGTGTTAAACCACTCTTCATTCTCCAATTGCTGGGTGGCGTGGGGAGTAGCAGGTAAAGATTAGTCTAAGGCTGTTGTGACAAACATTGCTCTTAGGATTCTGCTGAATGTCTTTGTTCTGTGTATTTAGGACATGGCTAATACTGAGCAGATACAAAATGGGACTCGAAGGAATAGTAAAGGAAAACAAGTAGGAAATTTAGGAAAATAAAACAAGGTGTAAAATATGTTTCTGTAACACCACTTAAACACCACCAGACTCTTCATCCATTATTCTGAACAGTGTGGTAATTAAATCATTCCAAGCTGGTAGCTTTCTGTGTTTTGTCTTTGGCCCTGAATGGAAGACTCCTCCCATTTTTCATACATCTATTTTGAAGTAAATACAATAACTCAAATGATCTGTAATTTCCAGCACTCCACAGTGTTTTGGTTGGCAGCATGTTTATATACTTCCTGGTGCTTTCTCCAGAATCATTAGGAAAACAAAGATCCAGAGAATAGAAGTGAAAGGGAGAAAGGCAAAAACCAGAGATGCCTATCTTGTCCTGGCAAACAGGGAATGTCTGAGTGGTTTGTTTTGAATTGCACTTTAAAAAGTAATGTGCGTCTCGGATCCAAATAGTCATTTCAATCCAGTTTTTCTACAGTGATTTTGGAGTTTGGTTCTTTTATCAGGAGTCCATGTCTCACCACGTCCTTTTTCCACACGCTTCCCATTATCACTGCTGGTGCGAAACCCGGGTTTCTCTGGTTCAGATAACCCATGCTCGGGTCTGATTTTGTGTTTCTCCTTTGCAGTGTGCCTTCAAGACAGTGTGCTGGCCTTCTGGAAACACGGCATGCAGGGCAAAAGCTTTAAGTCAGATGAAGTAAGTAATCTCCTACTCTCTCCAGGTTTAATTTCTTCCTGTTCCTTATTTACCACTTGATCCTTTGGCCTCTCTAGCAGCTTCCCTAGTGATAATGCTTGTGCTCCAAGTTGTCGTTGCTTCAGCTTGCTGGTTGCTTTCTCTGATTTGCCTGCATGTGTTGCTTTTGCTAAAGCTCACACACGTGCTTTAGCCAGCTCTGGTGTAAGCAGCATTTTTGGGTTTCTTGGATCTTGGACGAAAAGCTCGAGTTGGCAGCACCCCTTTAAAAAAAAAAAAAGACACACCCTTTTTTTTTTTTTTTTAAACTGTCACTTTAAAAAAAGTGTCCTTTTTTCGGAAAGAACACTGTCCTTTTTGATGGCATCCTCTGTGAAAATGCAGGGAAAGCTACTCAGCCTCTGCTGACAAAGATTTGATCAACATAATCCATCTGTGCCACCAAGTCATCTGGTAACAGTCTACAATACAAAAATTATTTAAAATAAGTTGTATTTTATGAAAATTAAAACTTTTTTGCTTAGCATCAATTTATGTGATTCAGTCCTGGAATTTGTGCTAAATTGTATTTGAATTTTTGAAAAGACTGATCTTCTTTTTTTTTTTCCCCTTCCAACTCAGACCAATAAATTTCATTTTGCCACTGAAATGGACCTAAATGTCTCTGTTTTTCTACAGGTTACTCAAGAGATATCAGATGAAACCAGGGTTTTCCGCTTACTGGGATCAGACAGGTAATCACCTTGAAGAAGCATAAACCTTTTATTTAAACCAGCTTTTTAGCTTCCAGCTCAAACTGGCTTCCAGCCCACCACAGACCTATCTGTAGGCAGTCCTGGGGGAGGCAGTAACACTGTTTCTGCCTGCAGTGGCCAAAAGTTTAATTAGTGATTGCATCTGCGTCCAAAATTATTACCGAGAGCCTCTGTGACCTCCCCCACTTTCCACTGCAGAGATAGAAGTGTGAACACAAACACCAGCGTATAGAAATACAGCGTGAGGAGATAAGCCGCAGGGAGAGATGAAAGCCGCCTTCGGCATGCGGTAAGCAGGGTGCCCAGTGCACTGCTGGAAAAGCCTGCTTCTGGCTTGGATTTTCCTGGTGAGCCGGTGAATTATCTTGGCAGCTAGTTACTTAAAAATAATCTTTGCTGCTCTGGACCTTGAGATCTGAAAATAGCAGAGCAAACTAGATCGCGTACAGGTTTTAATGCATGGTGGTCTAAATTCACGTGTTACCCGTAACATCCAGATGATTCCTTTCGGCTCCAGAGGCTGGGAAGAGGTGCGGCTGCCTCCAGGTTTGAAACCTTAGCGGAAGCTGCCCCAGTCTCTGGATCTGGACACGTGTACTTGTGGTTTCTCAGGTAGCCAGAGTGCTAAATGTAGAAGTAGATAGTAATGAGTCAAGAAATCAGTTCTAATCCCTGATCTTCTGCTCCCTCATTTGGCCTTTGGGAAGCCTGGCTCTTGACTCGCTTTCTGTAAATAATCCATAATTTCGTGTCCTTACGTTCTTGGATCCCCAGTCCAGAAAGAGAGTGAGAGCGCGCTAGCTCTCTTGAAGAGGAGGGGTAGCCTATACAAGAAACAGCTGAAGTCTTTGCTTTGCACCTGAGTCACTGAGGATCCACTGTACTTGGCCGCTGCTGTTGGAATTGAGGATCCTTGCCACTGCTGACTCTCAGATCTCAAAAATATCAGCACAGTGCAACTTCTGACAACGCATACTCTACCTCTTCTGCCTGTTATCCCCCTTGTGCAGACAGGGAATGGTAATTTCCTTCCCTGTTACTCCCAGCAGAGCAGGGGGCATTTTACTGCAAGAATGAGCTTTTGCTAAGGTCCACTGCAGTACAGATGCATACACATTAGTCCAGGTATGTGCTGTGCCACCGTCAGTGAATCTTTCTTGCATACTGGATTGGTACCTTTAAACGGCTCATACTTCTGCGTTTGGCTTGGTGAACACAGGAGCATCCCTAAACACACACAGGGATGGGAAGCAGCGTCGCATCTGGTTCAGCTTGCACTTTTACAGAAGACGTGCATATCTGAACAACAACGCAGTACAAAGCACTTTCGGGGGTTGGAGATAACGTTGAAGTCCTTCTGCTGCATGCAGTTTTGCAGAGAAGCCGTTTTCTTCCATTCTGATCTCATTGAATGGCCAAATCCTTTGGTTTGTATTTTTCCATCTTTGTACAAATGGAGCTGGGGTCTTTTCAACCATTCAAGTGAATGAGATGTGGCAGCACCTTGTTGGCTTGGATCACTTAGGAACTGAAGTGAACATCAGGGACAGAGGCTGTTAAGAGTGAGACTTCATTTGAAAACTCTTTCACGAATGTGACACGGGAGGGGAGTGTGTGCAGTGCTAACCCTGAGACAGGCTCCCTTTGAGAAACCTAACTCAGAGTTCAAGTGGCACATTTGGCTTATTTGATACACAGGTAGAAAAGAAAAAGCAGAGAGAAGTTGAATCTTAAAAATGACAGGATATTGTTCTAGGACCTGGTGCAGAGAAATGCAGGAGCTAAGCAGTTGGAAGGGAGAGGGGATGTCAAAGGCCCAACCATATCAGCCGCTGAGATGATTGTTGAGGTTCAGCACGGGACGGATGTGTAGAAGACAGCGGCCAACGTGCCAAGACAGGGAGAGACAGGACAGGAGCCTACAGGAACATGATCCAGCAGGACAAAGGCTGAGATGGGGTCGAGTGTTCCCTATGAACCCATCGGCTGATAAATATTTAGAAGGGAGAACTGTTTAGGCTAGTGGCTGATGCTTATCCCAAGATTTGGGAGGTATAAACATATTTGGGCTGCAGATGATAGGAGAGTTGCGTCTCCTCACAACACTCTGGCTCCGAGATAACTTCCTAACAGAAGCAGAGGACACAGCTTATTTCAAGGTGGAGGATGCCAATTTGGAAGAGCTTTGTAACACGTTGCATGTGCCCGTGGTTGAGAGCAGCAGATTCTGGTTCAAGAAGCTGCACGTTAGCCCGCCTACGTCCATTAGCATCATTCGTCCTCTCAAAGTCCTTCACCAATTTAAGATTTCCTTACAAACAAGTCTGATCTTCTAATTCCTAAGAAAAATTCAACAATGTCAACAAAATACTAGCGAAAGCCACCAGTTTGCAGTCCAGGTTAACATCTCTTCTTGTATCCGTAGGAGATAAACAAAAGAGGAAATGAAGACAATCTCTCTCACATATCTCCTCTGAAGTGGACATGGTTTAGTGGTGGACTTGGTAATATTAGGTTAATGGTTGGACTGGATGATCTTAAAGGTCTTTTCCAACCTAAACAATTCTATGATTCTAGTCCTCTGTTCCTCGTATATTCCACTGCTAGTGTTTTCATCAGAACTGGTGCTGGAAAATGAGGTAACTGATTTAAAGAGTAAAATACCCAAGATATTCAGGGGAACCTGTATCCCTCCAATCTGTAGAAACCTGTGAGCAACAAGTTTGTTCCTCCTTGGTAGTTACACCGCTTGCTTCGTATCTTGCCACTAACCATTTTGGATTCTGTTTGTGTTTGATTTGCAGAGTGGTAGTGTTGGAAAGCAGGCCAACAGAAAATCCGACTGCACACAGCAATCTCTACATCTTGGCTGGACACGAAAATAGTTACTAAGCAACAGTAACCCAACGCAAATAACAGAGCGAATTTGCCACACGAGGAACGAAGAAGCATTAAGAAACTCGGCACGAGTGGGACTGTGACTTACTGTTTCTTTTCTTGACACCTAAATGATGTTGGTTTAGGGTGGAAATCAATACATTTTTGCAGCTGGGAACAGCTGGTTCTGTCTCTTGCCACTGTGTGGTTGGTTATACGGAGTTTGCTTAATAAAAGCTATGAGATAAATAGCCCTTTATTCATTAGTTGCAGGGAAACAGCCTTTAAAAAAATGTTTTGCAGTAAAGGTGCCATAAACTGTTAAATATTTTACTTCCCTTGGAATTTTCCTTATATTCTGTAGATATAGATAGAGTGCTGGCTGTTTCCCTGTTTTATACTGAGTCTTGTTCTTCATAAAAAAGATTTGTGTAGGAAGTGAAAGTATCTGCAAAGCTTTTTGGTTTTAAATCTGCCATTCAGTATGGCTTTGTATAATAGTCTATTTAATCCTTATTTATTAATCTGCTGCTAGAATGGTGTAATGTATCTAACTTTTAGCAAAGGAAGGTTGCAGAGCAGCTTACGATTTTTTTTTACAGTTGTATAAAGATCTGAGTATTCTTTTTTCTTGTAGGGATGTAGTGCATTGTTGAGGGGTATATTACAGTATGTCAGTTGATCTTGTAAAAATGCAGTTTTGTACAACAAAGTATTTTGTATTGATTTTTTTTTTTTTTTTTGCCTGCAGAATTGCCATAAAAGGGATTTTCTTATTTGCTACTAGATGTAGGGTGTGTGTACACAAAATACAATATTGATATCAGACATGTTGCTACTGGGTGGGTGTGTACAATATACGTGTGTGTGTGCGTGCGCGCACATGTGCGCATGTGTGTTAAGTTTACCGGCAGTGTGTATTTTTTTTATATATATATATT